TTGAAAAAAAAGATTAATATGCAAATGTTGGATGTGTTGGACATTCTCCACAGAATTTTGCATCATATATGTAGGGTCTGTTCTGTGATTTTGTTTAAATGTATCAAATGTCTATAATTGCAATGTAATTTTTATGATCACGATCATTCGGAAAACTTCGGCTTCTACCGACATTACCATGCGGCATTCTGATTGGTTAATGGCATTTTTCACCCACCGGGTCAAAGGATACATGCGGTCAACTAACGCATCACAGCTATCATGGCGAGTCTGTGTTTTTCACGAAGTGACCGAGTGATCAAAAATAATTTCTCTCGATAAAACTAGTTCAAATTTTACGTTTTTTTTATATAAAAAAAGAAGTTTTAATTTTTGCATGGCATCATGACTGAGTAAGAGTAATTATTGGTATAACTGGCGTAAAACATCGCGAAGTAAGTTATGTCACGTCGTAACTTTGATGATAGTTTGGAAGTGTTATTTGTTCGTTCATTTACTGTAAATGTAAATGTTGTAGAAGCTGATGGTCGTAATAATAACCAGCAATCCGCCTAATAATTACGTGGTCGATTTTTTGAAGGAGAATTGTGTAGTAAATAAGATCATGAATGTCTTGAAATAATTCTGGCTGAAACGTTTCAAATGTGTTTCATTTAACCTTTTACAATTTATTTGTTTCCTTTTAGTCTGCAGCATTTACATTTCGAGAATGTTTCATTTTTAAATTCAAACTCTTCTAAATTGTGAAATGTAATATTTTGACTCCAAAAAAAAAATATTTTCCCTGTGACGGAGCTCATTAATATTACAAAAGTGCCCAAAATAAAAGTGTTTATAACACTGTGTAAAGCAAATAAATATCTGCCACTTTGTTTTTGAAAATATATGTTGTTTATTGTGTGGGTGTAAATGTGCTTTGGTCAATTTCTATTATTATGTAAATGATATGCAAATTAGGCCGCCACAGTGGTTTAAATTCCTGGGGAGAACACTGATCATATTATAACAAGGTTACATTAGTTTTCTATCTTCAATTCCATACACCGTTCTATAATTACAGCTTGATCTGGACCAAGCACTATATTGGCCATAAATTTATTGTTGACATATTTCATTCACACTTAGTATGGTCATCACACATGATGGTATGGTCATGCACATGAGTTTGTTTTGTAATTGGATTCAAACTGGTCGACTGGTGGCCTTAATCATTTCGTGGACATACTTTGACTGATTTTGTTGGTGCAAAGACAATATAATTGTATACATGTATACTTGCATGCATGCATGTTGGTTTTGTTTGTTTTGATGACCTTGACAGACTGGTGGCTTTTTTTACTGATCCAAACTGGTCAATTGGCGGCCATGTTGGTTCTATTTTCACCTGTCTTTATAACCATTTCCGAAAAATACTTTTCATTTTGGTATGAACAACACACATGATGTTTCGTTTTGTTATTTGATACAAAATGTCCAACTAGTTCATGTGTGGATTGTATTCTTTTGTACAATATTAGAATGATCTTATTAGTCCCCGTTCGGACAAAGTCTGCAAACAGGGACTTATAATTTGGTCTCTGTCCGTATGTCCATAGTCATATTTCAGACTCGATTCTGTTCATTCTTTGCATGTGCCTAGTACTTTATGTGCAACATATGCACATGCAGTGGTTTAGCAATTCGATTCAAAATGGCCGACTGGCAGCCATCTTGTTTTTTGAAAATGTTGTGTTTTGGACATGCTTTGTCAATTTTCATTCAAACATAGATTATACTTGTCC